CTCTGACGAGTGCTCTGCATTGGAGGCAGCGAGGGTGGCCAGAGCCATCTGACAATTATCAGCTGCCTTCAGAGTCAGACATCAGTGAGGCATACAAACAGCTGAAGACTGTTCTCAGTGTGCACATGCACAGAGTTGCCAGATGAAAGGAACAGCTAAAGAACAAGGGCCAACTTGGGAGTAAGGCCACAGAGGGGTGATGGATGGCCCCTCCCAGAGGAAATAAAAGAGGAGCAAAAAGGAAGTGGAGTTTGCAGGAGACAATTAGTTTGCTTAATTGGTTTGTGACTCTCTGAGACTCCTTGCCAAGTTTGGGAGATATGGGCTTGTCAGCTCCCCAAGCCAGATAAGGTCTGTGAAATTCTCCCTTGAAAGACTTTGCTGGATGTGAACGAGCAGAATTCAGAGTAAATTAATAAAAGGGTTTTTTGTTGGGACAAGGAGTTTGCTTCATGCTCTTGGGAAGCCTCGGTCAGAACAGAACCCATGTTCAGTCAGAAAAGATAATCTATGTAAGTTTATTTATGAAAATTAATCTGTTGTGGAGAAAAAAATGCAGGACACAGATAAAAGATGGGGGATTCAGGGCCTGGAAATCTTTAATTTGAGAAGGATTTGAATGTGGTCATTGGTAAGTTGAACTTGAAACAGCTGCTAGAAGAGGTATTGCATTTCTGGGCTGCATTAGAAACAGCATGAAACCTGAGATCTCCGAATAATTATTCCTTTCTACTTGGCATTGATGAAACTACACCTGGAGTTGTATCTAGTTCTGGGTCCACCTTTCCAGGAGATGTTGCCTGATTAAGCAGAGTTCACAAGAAGGAAGTGACATGTCTTGGTAAAGATAGGCTGAAGGAACTTGGCATGTTCAATCCCAAGGGGAAGTATAACTTTGTAGAGGATAGACTAGATGGATCTATTGCCACCTTTTAACGCTACAATTTTATGAGAGGTTAATGAATCACTTATATAGTTCTTTTGCACTGATGAGTTCCAATTCATAACAATGTCTTTTTGTTTTCCAGAAAGCTTAGTTCTTCCTTATCATACCAGTCCAAGTTCTAATGTAGACCACTCTTTAAAACCAGAAGACGACATCCTATTCCAGTGGCGCCTGCGCCGGAAGATGGAGGAAGCAAGCAAAGCCGCTGCTGCAATGCCTCCAGAGGTTTGGAGGAATCCGTGCTTCCAACCAACCTGCGCCTCTGGAAAAGTAAGGATTTGAAATCAATAAGTGGAATACGTGTAGATTTGGAACTGAGATGATGGAATGAAGAGATGCTTTCTTTCCAGTGGCCGTTTCATTCCATTGAATTGAAGACTTTGAATTGACTGCTGTACAAGCATTTGCAAAAAAGAAACAACTTTGTAAAATACCTATTTTTTGCAAACCACACATATTCATCCACCTCCACATATACTCTCCAGCCCAAGAACGCTTCATTTTCATGAATGTTTTAGCAAGCAGCCTAGGTTATTTTTTTATCTGAAAGTCAGCAGCAGAATTTAGCCCTGTGTTGCATGTCAAGAAAATTGACAGGGTAAATACAGAATGCCCCATTAAGGGAAAGAACATCGTGTTATGGCTCCTGATAACTTGTGGATTGCTTTCTTTCATTCACGAGTTCCCTTCCCCTCTCGAATCGTGTGACTGTTGATTGTCTTTTTAANTGTTGACTTGCTGGAAAGGCATTTAGGGGATAACGGGGTTTCAGAAGGCAACTCAGCAGCTCCACGGAGATACGTCTGATGCAAATATCAAGGATTTCCTAACCCAGTGAAGCATCCTGTGATTTGTTTTCTTCTTCTTTGTATGTAAAATATTTTGAAAAGCTATTCCTTTAGAAAGATGATGGCTTTATATAAACCCTTCACTTTTAATGGAGACCTCTCTCTCTCTGCAGATAACAGCCGAAGTGAAGTGGGGTTATCTCTTTTCAGTCCCATCCTGCCTCAAACTGCCTTGGTGAGTAACAAGATATTGTCCTAGACAAGAGGCAGAAAGTAAAATCTCTGCTGGCTTCTTATTTTTCCAGTTCACAGATAGTCTCGGGCCCATTGAGTTGAGAAACCTGTATTTGACAGTGGGGATCAATCCTTATCTGCCACAAAACTCAGCCTGCATGAACGACCTTGAGCTGAGGGGGCTTCCGAGCTTTGCCTCCTTCAGACTGTGAGAATAAAAGAGAATGTGCCCATCTTTGTGGCCCTGAGCTGCTTTCAGGGAGGCCAGAATAGAACTGCAGTAGATACATAGGAAGGTCATCTGATGAAATGTGGCTGCATAGGCTTTGTCAAATAAATACTCGGAGTAATTGCTCTGGCTCTAGGTAGAGAAAAATGTAAGATGTGTTACAGTGTTTCAGTAGATTTCTTGAGTTTGGTTCCCCCCGGTCACTTCCTTGTTGTTTTATCAAGGACTTAACGTTTAGAAATTCTTAATTTCCAGAGGAGGGAAATTTTGCTTTTAAAATGTTCACCTAAAATGAGCAGCAGACAACTTTTCATTGCTTCCATCTCTGGAGCTTTCTGTTACTGAAGACCTTATCTCCTCCCCCCACTCCCCCTTTCTGCCTTTAGCTTTCGCCTTCGTGAGAGTTACTTTCCATGGACACATTGCATAGCACTGACTTCACCATCAAGAACCCCCCCCCCCTTTCCATAACTTACATATTTTGCATTGATGTGCATTTCCAGAGGTGTCGAAAATTCCACTCTTCTCCAGCTGGCAGAATCTTGGCACGCTTTCCCCCCATAGAGCTTTCCCGCTTCACACTTTCTTTACGTGCTCTTTGCAGGGAGAAATGCAAGCTGCTTCTGCATTTGACGCTGAGACCGTGAGCCTGCAGGAAAGAGCAGCTAGGGTCATAAGCAGAAGGTACTGGCCTGACTTACATTTTGTCCTTCACCCGATAGACCAATGCCATTTTTTAGTGATGTGCCTCTGTTTGGGGGGATCTCAGGAAACCTTTCCTTTCTAACAAGATGCCTTTCTCAATCTGTCTTCTGCTTATAGCGTCTCACCACCAAATAGTTTCCGGTCCGGGGGGCTTGATTCTACTGCTACATCCACCAACCCAAATAGCACCCCAGACTTGCCTCAACATGCTCTACGATACCCTGCAGCACACCAAGTGAAAGGTAGGGCAAGATCTGTGATCTAGAATGATTCCCCCCTCCATCCCCCCTCGGTATTTACAAGTTTGGTCTAAGTAAAAGAAATGGCTACTGAGAGTGAAAGGGGAATTGGAGAACCTGTTGTAGCTTGCCAGCCAGCAGAGCTGACAGCAGATTCAGACAGTGAGGAGTTTGGGGAGGAACATGGGCCAGTCCTGGAGTCTGGGGAAGGCTCTGACGAGTGCTCTGCATTGGAGGCAGCGAGGGTGGCCAGAGCCGTCTGACAATTATCAGCTGCCTTCAGAGTCAGACATCAGTGAGGCAGACAAACAGCTGAAGCCTGTTCCCAGTGTGCGCATGCACAGAGTTGCCAGATGAAGGGAACAGCTAAAGAACAAGGGCCAACTAGAGTGTAAGGCCACAGAT